TTCTCGGAAGATCAAAACTTATCTTGGGAGGTTGTTTTGGAGGGTTGGATACCGCAATTGCTATCATACATCGAAAAGAGCTCAATATGGATGGTCTGCATTGATTTTTCAGCTCATCGGCAACTTGAACACGTAACAAATTACCATATATGGTGCATGGGAACGTTACGTTAGTTAGTTAGTCCAGCGATCGAGTCGGAAAAAAGAAAAACGGCCCTATATATTTTTTTGGAATGCCGGTACCCCCTTGGTCGTGGTTAATCCGGGTTGGTGGGGGTAACGTAACGGATCACCGCCCGCCCGAGTTGCCCTTTGCAGCTTTCCTGTTCAATTTGGGCGACGCGCTCGCCAACGTGCTTCAATGTCAAGAGCGAGGTTCCCTGCAGCTCATGTTTTAAAATAATTTAACCCCGTCAATGCACCGACGCAATTCATAAAACGCGTATTGATGTCTAGATCTTTTTTACCTCGGGCCAGATGTACAACTTCGAGCAGTGGATTAGCATTATTGGAAGAGATTAGGATGTGTTCTCGGGACTAGGGCAGCTTCATCAGTGATTCAGCCTGCTTGAGGATTGAATTTCCCTAGGTGTCGCCGACGGTCGGAGATGAAGTTGATTCTTTTCTGTTCGGTGATCGGTTGGAATCCAGGATCCTGGAGCCGGTGCTTGGCGTGCACCAACTTGGGTTACTACCTCGATAGCGAGACTTAAGCTTCACTTGAGCTGCACCCAAGGGTGGGTTTTTTCTTTCTTTGTGCTTTCCATTTGAGTCCTCGCCGTCGTTTATACCCATATTACTTCCGCACGGTCAAATCCTGTCAAAGCGTGGGTTTGGGGTCAGAATTCAAGAACCTTGGATGCAGTATCTGCCCATTTTAGGATTTATTAAGATGGCTGTCGGTGCCACAGAGTGACATGGAACTTGGAACTTTGACAGGTGTTGACCACACATTGCAACGTGGCTTAAGACCTCACTGCAGCCTCGTGGCTGAAGCTACTGCAGTTCAAGCTGCTTACAGCTCCGATTGAGATTCCAATCCAACAAGCACACCACCTCCAGGGAACGATCCATGGCGCACATCTGGAATATTAACCATCTCCACGGTACAAGAAAATTGGTCTACATATGCGGATAAGTACTGAAGTTGCGTAGGAGGTACTGGCGGTGCTGGTGGGGATGGTGGACAACGTGGTGGCGAGGGGGGTGTCGGCCAGGGTATCAATGTTTATCCTGACCAGATGAATGTTTACGGATCCTCTATCCGCGTACGTTTAACTGTTCTCATACTTGTTCAGCAGCTGAAAGTAGGTTCTAGGCCGATTTACTCCCCTGGTTTGCTCGCACAGCGCTATTTGCCGCAGACGCGGCTGCCGGAGGGCCAGCGAGGCGGGCCTGCACAGACAACACTCGCACAGAACTGATAACCCGCCTGAAAGAGTGGGCATGCGACACATCTGACAGCTTGCCCATCTTTTGGCTGAGCGGTATGGCCGGTACCGGCAAGTCAACTGTTGCCTACACCCTCTGCCAGCACTGGCGTGCAGAACACCGTCTAGGTGCATCATTCTTCTGTTCTCGAAATGATGAGAAGGCTCGGTCCCGTCCGTTCATTATTCCGACTATTGTCTGCCAACTCCTCGATACCCACAAGCCTTTTGCCCACTCACTCCATGATGTCCCTATTGATGTCATTCCAACCTCGGCTCGCCATGTGGATGAGCTCCTTGTCCAGCCTTGGTTGAAAAGTATGGCTTCACAGTCCTCTGAACAGCTGCCGTTGGTGGTTGTTATTGACGCACTCGATGAAATCGAGGGCAATGATGATGGCCCTCAAATAATCAAACAACTCATCCAGGCAGTTTCTGCATCTGAGACGAGGCTCCGTGGCCTCAAGTTTTTTGTCACCAGTCGCCCTCACCCTCAAATCAAGGAAGAATGCAGCTCCATTGATGCAAAGGCCGTGTATCATATGGAAGAAATCACTCCAAAGGAGGCATTCGAGGATGTTCGCCGCTTCATCAATGCCGAGCTCACTGTTCTACCTCGTGATCAGCAGGAAGCCATTGTTACCAACTCCTCAGGGCTATTCATTTACGCTGCAACTCTTGTGCGCTACCTTTGCCCTCCCAACTTTCGCTTGTCAGCGAAGCAGCAGCAAAAGCGCCTTGAAACACTCTGGAAATCTGGTGTCAATGCAAAGGTGCCAGACAGTGAACATGGGATTGACTCATTGTATAGCACCATCCTCACTCAAGCACTGCCAAATATTGGACCAGAGGTAGAGACATCAAAGTGTGTGCTCTATGCTGTTGTCACCACTCGACGACCTCTCACAGTCTCGAATCTTGCGCCACTTGTTGTTGGTGATGTAACTGAAGAAGCAGATGAAGAGGCTGTCCACAACAGTTTGGACTTGTTCCATGCTGTTCTGTATATCTCCTCACGTGACAAATGCATCTACACATTCCACAAATCCTTCACCGACTTTATCCTTGACCCAGGTCGCTCGCCCGAGCTGGCAAACAAAGCCAGGTCTTACTTTCCAAACTGGACAAGAAACTGTATTCAAATCATGAACAAGTCCTTGCATTTCAATATGTGCAACCTCCAATCATCCTTTATTATTGATGAGGAAGACAAGCACTTGTCAGAGCGGGTGGAGACCAACATCAAACCCGAGCTTCGCTATGCTTGTCAATATTGGGCCATGCACCTTGCATCAGTGAGACAGGATTACCAGGAGGATGTGCAGCAGCTTTCAGACTTACTACTCGACTTTTACAAGTTGAAAGTACTCTTCTGGATGGAAGCAATGAACTTGCTCAAGCTGGACTGCCGCCTTGCAACATACCTGGCATACACCTGGGCCTTGCAGGTATGTAAATTGACAATACTTTCAGTGCTGTGTTTTCACAACAAACGAGGTTCCAAATGCAGAGCTAAACGAGTACATGGCTGCTGGCCAGAGACTCTGGGCTTCATTTGTCCGGGGCCAGGCTGCACTATCCACACCACATCTCTATGTCAGTAGTCTTACCACAGAATTGGCCTTGACCGCTGCTGGGGCTTTGACAAATTGGCGAGAGCACTTCCCCAGGCTACCCTCTCTTAAATGTAAGGGCATCTCCTTGCACAGGATGTTAATGAACATTGAGGGGCACAGTGGTGGGGTCAACTCTGTGGCATTCTCGCCTGACGGTGCACATGTGGTGTCTGGCTCAGGCGACAACACCTTGCAGATTTGGGACGCGACAACAGGCGCTGAGGTGACCAAGATGAAGGGCCACAGCGGCGGGGTCAACTCTGTGGCATTCTCGCCTGACGGTGCACATGTGGTGTCTGGCTCAGGCAACAACACCTTGCAGATTTGGGACGCGATAACAGGCGCTGAGGTGACCAAGATGAAGGGCCACAGCAACTGGGTCAACTCTGTGGCATTCTCGCCCGACAGTGCACGTGTGGTGTCTGGCTCAGGCGACCGGACCATGCAGATTTGGGACGCGACAACGGGCGCCAAGCTGATCAAAATGGAGGGCCACAACTACAGGGTCAACTCTGTGGCATTCTCGCCCGACGGTGCACGTGTGGTGTCTGGCTCAGACGACAAGACCGTGCAAATTTGGGACGCGACAACAGGTGCTGAGATGACCAAGATGGAGGGCCACAGCAAGTGGGTCTTCTCTGTGGCATTCTCGCCTGACGGTGCACGGGTGGTGTCTGGCTCATGGGACAAGACCGTGCAGATTTGGGACGCGACGACAGGCGCCGAGGTGACCAAGATGGAGGGCCACAGCGGCGGGGTCCGCTCTGTGGCATTCTCGCCCGACGGTGCACATGTGGTGTCTGGCTCAGATGATAAGACCGTGCGGATTTGGGACGCGATGACGGGCGCTGAGGTGACCAACATGAAGGGCCACAGTGACAGGGTCAACTCTGTGGCATTCTCGCCCAACGGTGCACGTGTGGTGTCTGGCTCAGACGACGAGACTGTACGGATTTGGGACGCGACGACAGGCGCTGAGGTGACCAATGTACAGGGCCACAGCAAGGATGGCTGGATGGTGCAACGTGGCCTACCCTTCATTCACTTATTTTGGTACCCCCCTGAGCTTTACCATACCCTTTTCTTCCCCCCTTGCCTCTGTCTCATCTCTAACAGGAGTCAAACCCGTCTCGAACTTCATACCCGTAGTCTGGGCACTCACTGGCAGCAAATCTATCAATCTCCACATCCCGCCTCTCTTTAGAATGCTGGCTTATCAAGGTTCTTTTTTCTTTTTTCTTTATGCGACCACTCTTCTTATGAGTTGGATAGGGTTTGGGACAAGTTCCAGAACGCTACACCAAAGTGGATCTTTGATTCAATATCTTTAATCAATCACACACACCTATATAAGGACTTCGAGATAGTTGTAAACTGGAAGGTTTACATTACAATGCATAACTGTCCCAATATAAGGGGTTCACTGTGGAAACATACCTACCTGCACATGAACTCCAGCACAGAAAGGGGGGGCAGGTGCACACGACCATGTGCTATCGGGTATTCTCCTACTACCTGTTTAAAACCTCAACAAGAAGCATGAAAACCACTTGAGTTGAAAAGAGCCACAGTTGACTTGATTTTGATTTGCACGGCACAGAAACCACTGCAGAGGTAAAAGCATTGATTCCTTTTATTAGAGCTGAGGGAAAAAGAAATGCATCAGCAAACAATCACCGCCCGACCCCGAATCAAACAGGGGTTCCTGCCTATACACAAATGTGCAGCAGGTGCACACCATGTGCTATCGGGTGTTTTCATACCTGGTTTTAAGCTTCAATGAGTGTGAGTAGAAATTGGCCAGCATAGAACCACTTGAGTTTGAAAAGAAAAGAGCCACAGTGAACTTGATTTATACACGAGTTTGCCAATGCAGAGCAAAAGAAAGAAACCGACCCTTGGAAAGATGATAACCTGGAAAGGGAGAAAGAAAAAAAAAACTATTTTTTGAAAATCACCCAACCCCGAATCGAACGGGGACCTCCTGCTAACATATAACTTAGGATGATCGATTGTTTAAGAAAGGCAGGTGCACTCCATGTGCTACCAGGTGTTTTTGTACCCAACTTCGAAGGGGAGGAGGTGTGAGCGAAGATTAAAAGATTTAGATGCCTCCGAAGAGTTTCCAATCAAGATAAATTGAGTAATTAATTCACACTTTGAGATAAGGACCAGAAAGCAATGAATAAGGAAGTGGGAAGTGTGCAGTGGATCGCTCTGACTCGTTGTCGTTTTTTTTTAAAGAGCAATCGGACTCAACTGGAAGATCCCAAGAGGACCAGATTCTTCGGCAGAAAAAGCCAGCGGTGAAAAAAGTCGAAGCAAAAGAGGGAAGAGTGGATGGCATACTAGAAGGAAAAGGAAAGACAGCGCTGGGGTTGCGAACATCCACCCGCCGTGATGGTTAGGTGAGAGAAAGCGGGCCGAGTTTACCATCCGTTTGATCATGATTCGATGATTCTTTATCATTTCAGGTCCGATCTTCCTGACTTGCACACACGACGAGCACGCGCCGGACGCGATTTTGGGCTTCACACTCACTCTGAAGGAAGTGGTCGAAGGTGCGGACATGGAAGGCACACTTCTTGGGGGTCTAGTCTAATCCTTTTGCCAGCTGTCTGCGGTTTTCTCTAGGAAATTCAAAACGACTTGTTCGACTCTTCTTTGGCTCTAATACTTGGTGTCCAAGGACAGTGGGAATTGAGGCCTATTGAGGTCTTACGGATGGACACGCACGAATTGCGCACGAAGAGGATCCGAAGAGTTGACACTGCCAGCCCCTGCACTCGCGACTCTGCCGACCGCACACCAACCACCAACTCCTCTCCCCGCCGCGCACTGCCCTGACGCCCATGCATCGGATCTGACCTGGCGCTCCTTTCGTGGCGTCATGCGCGCAGCATCCGTTGGATGCGGATGACGCGAACACGGACGTCGAGCAGACTACGCGCAATACAGCAGGCTTCACGCGGTACGGCACCGATGAAACCCGCTCGGTCTACACGAGGGCGGCGCCGAAACTGTATAACGAGGGCAGCGCCACGGGGACATCGACGACCACAATATCAATCGCGCGTCAATATTATCTGTGCTGGGCGTCGAGCGAACACCGGTACGCCTCGTCCCGCAGGCTGCTCGCGCCTCCCCCGCGCATGCAGCCGCTCCTCCTCGTCCTCAGTTCTCAGCTCCGCCCGCAAACACCCGACCCTGCTTGAGCGCTCGCACACGCACCCCTCATCTCCAAACCCACACTCGCCCTCTCCGCCAGCGCGCAGAAGCCGCGTAAGGGTGGTGGTCGGTGCCTTCATCGTCAACAATATCTCCCGGGTGTCGAGTTCTTTGCAGTCAGCGTATCCTTTGTCCAGGTTAGCTTTCTTCCTTCGCTTTCGCTTCATCTAGAACTTACTCCATCTACAGGAATTCGATTGACTTCGGCGTCCGCCCACCTACGCCAACTACACCAAACGCCGAAGTCCTGCCTTGCCCCACGACGTCCTCGAAGAACACAGCGGCGCGCGCGAGCAAGCGTAGGTGAATGGAGAGCGAGGGACGCGATTCGGCGGGCTTGGTCCTGCTGGGGCGGGAGGGGTATGCTGATTGCGAGGAGGTCGTTGACCGTCAATGGGTGGGGAATCATGATGTGATTGTGAAAGTGAGAGGTGGGACGGAGAAGGAACGCGAGAGGGACCGCGAGAGGAAGAAGGTGCATCTATACATGTAGGTGCGTATCTTCCTCCTCCATCCTCCACCCCCATCTCTCTGTAACCTCCCTGCGCGATCAAGTCCGCTGACACCCTGCTCTGCAGATCACCCGCCACCTCGCGCTCATTCATAATCCAGCGCCAGGAATCAAGCTCAACCGCTCGCCTACGATTGCTCGGCGCCCGCGCTGCCTCCACGCAGCGCGCGGTGTGGGTGTGCTCGCCGGCCAGGTCCCGCCCGCCGTCCTGCTGATCCGCTTCGACGCCGGCGCCACGCGAACGAATAACTTGGCGGGGAGTCGACTGGGCTTGGGGAAACTCGAGGAGGCTCAGGCGTGTGGGCTTTATGGAGTGTGCGTGGTGCGTGTTTCTTCCTCATTCTTCTTCCTTCCTCCCTTCCTCTGTCCAACGCTGATACTTACATAGAGTTGCCTGCGCAGGTAATTCACGCGGAGATGTCTCGGCCTCGACGCGCTTGTGCGCATGAAGCAGGAGTACCACGGCCGCAGATCCTCGGTATGGCGGGATGTCCCCTACCTCGATCTGCAGCATCAGCTTCATCCACGGCATTCTCGACTCGGCGATGGCGTTGCCCCTCAGGGCGTTTCTTGTATTCTTATTCGGCGCTCAGGGTGCGCCATGCTGTCGTGCGTCTTCGTCCGTTTCTCTTCGTATCGGGCCTAAAAAAAAAAACTGATGTGAATTGTCTTGTAGGATTACACCTTCAGGTTCGCCTCCGCCGCGCTCTCGTCGACAACACCCCTCTGCTCCTCTGTCATCGCCGTCGAGCTCATCCTCCCCGTACGTGTACATTCCTCCTCCTTCTTCCGGGCGCATCACTTAAGTACCCTTGCTTCAGGACTTCCTCGTTGTCCGTAGCGCCATCGTGTACGGCGGTGTCGTGTACTCACTCGCCTCGGTCTTGGGCTTGTCCTTGTCTGTAAACTCGCCATGGGCGCGAAAGCGTATGATGCGCACGGTATCGATCGAGGGCAGTATGTACGGTCGATGTGTGTAGTGGGCCACGAGAAGCAGAGGGCCGCGAGGCTGTATCGAGGTGCGTTTCCGCCACCGCATGCTCGACGGAAGACTGACCTATGATTAGCTGCCGCTGTTTTCGCTGCACTCGAGCACGCGGAATTGGGCGCCATAGAGGAGTCGGGAGATGAGCGGTGGGCGTGATGGCGAACTTGTATACGCGGTTCTTGTATACGCGGTTCTCTCGAGGAATGTGTTTGTCAATATGGTGCGTCGTCCTCCTTCCTCTTGCCTTCTTCTACCATTCGCTCTCCGAAACTGACTCCGCACCCGCGCATAGATCACTGGTACCCTCTTCCTTTCAAGTGCCTTCCGGGGTCGGGAATGGCGGGCTCCTCGCGTACGCGTCGAAGCACGCTGTGGCGTACGCCTCGCGGCGGCTGGCCTCGGGGTTAGGCTGTCCTCGATGCTTGTGTATCCGATCCAATCGAGGAGGAGGGAGGGCGGATGGGGCTTCCGTGGATATGGGGCTGTTTCTTGAGTGGGGAGATGTGGGTCGGTTTGTGTGGGGAGCGGGGGTGATATGGACGAACAACGAAGGACTAATGGAATCTTTTCACGGCTAGATTAGCGCGGACAAGGAACTACCTACGTAGAGGTAGATACACTTCCAACGATAGATGGATGGATGGACTCTGTACCTAGAGCGCGACACAATTGTCTTTCGCAGGAATTGTATTTTCGCTCTGACCTATCTCATCTCAATTCGAATCCCAGCAATGATTCAGCTCAAAGCAACGGGTTTGAATACATATTTTTATTGGCGGCATGGTGCATACATGGTAATACCTTACTCCGAGTTTCCACAAACGAGACACCGCGTTGCGTCAAAACGAAAGGAGGATAAGGTGTGGTGTCGTCCTCCGTCCACAGGGTCTCAAGGCCGACAGCGACATCGCCAATTTGCCCGCGGAACGCGTACTAGGCTCGAGTCGCCCGCCGCAAGCGCGCGTGCTCGACAACACAATGAGTTCGCCAGGAGACCGACACGACACCACAAAGCTGCCGTGCACGCAGTCTCGACCTGTGATTCCCGCCGGCTCCACTCGCCTCCCGCTCCGCGCACCAAACCACCCCCAAACCGTCCCCGCCCCAGTGCCGGTGTTCCCTCCCCTTCCGCCTCCCCGAACGCGCCCGAATGCCAGAAACAGCATCTCGATCCCGGGATGCGGCGGACCGACGAGACCGCCTCCACTTCCTCCTCCAAAACGCAAAAACGGCGACAAGCTCGAGAGCCAGAAAACCCGCTCCGCCCCATGAAAAAAAACCCGCTCCGCTCCAAGGTATTAAATAAAGCACTTGCCTTAACCCCCTCCTTGGCCTTGCGCTTCAGCAGCCTATCGAGGCGCCACTCGGGGCGGTACGCGCGCGGGCGGCGGAGGTAGAGCTCGGGGGTAGCCACCAGTCCTATAAACGAAAGAAAAGAAGAGTTAGTATTGGTGTAAGAACAAAGGAGAAGGTTGGAGGGAGGGAGGGAGGGAAGGGGGAGGATGGGGGAGGCCGGGCAGGACACAAACCCAAGGTGCAGAGACGCGGGGTGCGCGCAAAGAGGAAAAGATGACGAGGTTGGGCAGCCCAAGGCTCGAGGAACGCTACCGCGCGAAAGGAGAGAGCGCACAAAGCTGACACAACCTCTGCATTGACGCGCAAGACTATCTCGAGGTCGAGGCGCGCAAAGCCCGTCACAACCTCCGCGCATAGGCGGTAACCGTACGGAAGGCGGGCTCGGAGTCAAACAACAAAGCCGACGCGAGGAAGGCGCGCGCTAGGCCGTCAAGTCGCCCGAGGCGCGACGCAAGCAAAGCCCGCCACAACTTCCGCGTCCAGGCGAGAACGCGCGCGAGGAGCTCAAAGCGCCGGCCAACCAGCGCCGACTACGACGCTGAGACTAAGGCGCGACGCGAGGCCGGTGCGCATGGAGTCGCCAGCCAGAACAAGCGCGGCAAGGCCGCTAACGCGGCCGGCGAGCAAACCCAGTCCGTCAAGGACGCTGGGTGCACAGCCCGAAGGTGGGAACACGCGCGCGGGACGGGTTTGCATTGAAGCCAAACCTGACGTCTCAGCAGCGCTGGAAAGCGCCCGCAGCTCACGCGCCGCAGCTCACGGCGAGAGCGCGTATCGAAAGGCTCAACTCTACACGCAAACCCAGCGCACACAAAGACGTCCCCAAGCTGTCCACACCAAGCGCGCCGAAAAGTACAAAAACATAAAAAGATAAAGACACGAAGACCGATAAAGACACGAAGACCCACCTGGGATGAAGATAACCTCGCGCGCATTGTCGATCCTTTCGGAGAGGGCCCACATGTAGTCG